GCTTCCTCGATCGAGTCGGAATGCTTGTTTGGCGGAGTTGGCGAAGGAGCAACGGGGGCATCGCTGCCATTCTTGCGCGTGCGTCTACAATGTTTTCAGATGCGGCACCATCACATCTGCATCTTGGGGCGCGAGCGGCTTCGCAACTAGAGGAAACATATGATTGCCCGCTGACACTTTTCGGTGCTACTGTTGACTCGATCATCTGAACCACTCGCGTGCGTTTTTCTCAGAATCAATGCTCGACAGTGGCCCCTCGCGGAAATTGCAGGGATTTGACAACAACTCGCCGTCGATTTCGGCTGACGCCCGGGGCCCCGCTTTCCTAGGTTACCGAGAATGTTAGGATATGCGGGGGTTGCCAGACGATTGATGCTGGCGGTCGGACTCCGGAGCTCGCGGTTTCCCTCGAGCGAGCTGGGCGAGGCCCCCCCCCCCCCCGAAGCCGCAACGAGGCTCCGAAAAAAGGTCTTCTGAGGCCCCCAAAAGAGCTCCGAGAGGGCTCCAAGCCGACCCCCAGTGGGCCCCAGGTCAAGGTGCACGGTGCATCATGCAACCGCAATGGCATGGCGGGGGACGTTGTTGTTGAGCACGACGCCGCGCCGTGGGGCAAACGGCAATGCATGCCACATCGAGGAAAACCTTACCCTCTTGCTTCAAGGGAGCACGCGGAAACAATACGACGTAAAAGTGTGCATGCAAATGTCGCTTGCAGGAGCCTCCTTGGGACTCTCTCGGGGTTCTCTCGGGGCATCCTCGGGGCTTCAGGACAGCCCCAGCGCGGCCCAAGACGGCTCCAAGAGGGCACCGGCGTGGCCCACGCAACGGCCCAAACTCATGTTGCACCATGCATCCTGATGCGGGCCCTCCAAACATACATGTATTTGGACCCCTTCTGATGGGTGCCCTCTGGGGCGTTCTTTGGGGCCCTCAATGGGTTCGAGGGGGCTGCGGGTGGGCCTCGGGGAGACCCCCAGGGGGGCTCCAGGAGGACCCCGGATGGATCCCCAGATGGCCCAGAGCCAAAAAGCATTTTGAATATTGGATTTGGGCCCTCTTGGGGGGCAACTAGATTTTATTAAAGCCGTATTAGCGAGTTCTCGGCGACACGGGCCCCCCCCGGCTTCGGGCGGGTTTCAGGAAGTCCCGGAGAATGCCCCCACGGGGCATCAAGTGGACCCCGAGACATTCCTGAATCAGGATGCAGCGCGCGTCCTAACTTTGGATTTTCTTGGGGTCCAGGCGGGGCTCTCCCGAAGTCCTCTCGTGGGCCTCACGGGGCCCACTTGGGGCTCCCTTGAGCCCTCAGGCAGGCTTCCAGAAATTGTTGGCGCTCCGCGTATCCCCGCCAGCCCGTCCAAAAAATCACCCGGCGACTTGCCCTGATCATCGGGAGGAGCGATGAGGGTGAAGGGATGAGCCAGGAGGGAGGGGTGATATACAATAGCAGTCGAATACGAGAGTGGTCATGGACAGCAGTGTTCATATACGCAAGTGGTCGTGCACAAGAGGCCTTCTTGGGCATCTCTTCGGCCCCCTTGGGGCCCTCGTGGGGCTCGCTGAGGGCCGTCTTGAGGCCCTCTAGGGGCCCTCTTGGGGCATTGCCCGGGCCCTCCAGGGCCTTCCAGTGCGATCCGGAGGGCTTCAAGCGGGCTCAAGACGGTTCCAAGAGAGCCTCAAAGTTTGTCAATATATTTGAAATTTGGAGGCCCTCCTGAGGCTCTCTTGGACCCTCTTGAGGCCCTCCGAGATTGCATTGGGAGGCCTGGAGGGCCCCGAGAGGGCCCCCCCGAGGGCCCCCGACCAGGAAACCTCCGGGGGGGGGGTCGTCACGGTAGCCTCCGGTTTGGGCGCCCCCTCGTCACGGAAACCTCCGGTTTAGGTTGCGCCCGGGGCCCCCCCGAGCTCGTCACGGAAGCCTCCGGTTTAGGCACAAGTCGGGAAACAAGACAGACGGGCGGGGGTCCCGGGGGGGGTCGTCACGGAAGCCTCCGGTTTGGGGCGCGCCCAAATGATGCCCTACCGCGACGAGCTCCGGGTCCACACTTTCGAAATTTTCATTCGGGGATCCGCCCCGGGCGAGCCCCAAAAGACAATCGCGCGGCCCCCGCAAGCCGCGCGAGTGCAGCCTGGGCCTCGCTGGGGGGCGGAGGGCAAGGTTTTGTCGCAGGTGCCGCGGGGGGTCCAGGCCGGCTGGTCTTTCCCGATCTTCTCCCCGTTACTCCGCCGCCATCCTCTCCTCCTTCCTTACTCCTTCGTGTCTCTCCCTCCCTCGCCGTCCCCTGGCCACTCTTCCCTTGCTCTTCACTTTGGCCTATCGCCATCTCCCTCTTTCCATTATGTCCACTTCTCCGCTGTCCTCACAACATCCCCACCTTCTCTGTCTCTCCTCCTTGCCCTCTTTTCCTCCCCCCGCTTCCCTCGCTTTTCCTCGCCCCCTCCCTCCCTAGTGCCCCTTCCCCCCCATCCCTCCCCCCTCGCATTAGCTCCCCTCGCCCGCATCGCCCTTGCCCTCGTTTCTTCCTCTCCTCCCCTGCCTCCGACATTCCTTCCCTCCCCCGCCCCCCCCGTATCTCTCCTACCTCCTCTGGCTCCCCTCCCACGCCCCCCTCCCTGCGTGCGTCTTTCGCCCTGTCTCCCTTCCCCCCCTTCTCTCCCCTCCCCCCTCCCCCCTCCCTCCCCCCTCCCCCCCTTAGTTCCCTCGCCTGGCGACGCGCTGCACAATGCACTCCGCCGCGAGGGCGAGCTGGGCCAGGGGTCGAGGAGGAGGGGGGCGGAGGAGGGGGAAGTTGAGAGAGGGTGGGGAGGGGGAGGACGAACGGGGGCGGCAGGGGAGGGAAGGATATATAAAATATGTGGACGGGATATCAGGCGGAAATGGAGGGATGGGGGTTACACGTGTGGTTTGTGCGGCATGTGCTGGCATGTTGCACCCAGGCATACTATTGGTTCCCAGCATTTGCAACTCATTGCCTCAATATGTGCAACGTACTGTGTTGCGTCTGTGGGGATGCGTGGCCAATGCCTTGAAACGTCCGCAGTCTTTCATGGGGCGCGTGAGCCTGATCGCGCAGCACGTGCGTACTCATGCGCCTGGCTCGGCACCAGAGCCATACTTGCCAACGCAAACATGGGCGCTTTGTGATAGAGCCAAGTGTGGATCCTACGATATGTCCGTTTGTGCACTTTCGAGGCTCCTGATATGTAGCGGGCACGCGTTGTCAAAACCCCTTCACAGGAGGACCGTCTCTTTGGGCTATCATTGGCTCGATTCGCCATCCCTGCACGCGTATGCGTACGTCAGGGTGGGCGACGTTTCACTTGCTCGTCCATATACAAAAGGCGTGGTGTTCCTTTGTCAAATTCCCGAAGTAGCGAAACGATTTATTTGTAATTCTGGCGTCGTGACTGTGCCGACCACTTTTGAGAAATCGTTCAAGGTTTGCCAGGTATGTTGTAAGACTGTTCACACCCTGGCGGTCGTACTTCACCGCGCGCAAAGCATGCGACTGCTTCGTTGGGATATGTTCGTTTTGGGGGTGGTTGCGTTTTTTTCCTAGCCGCCCAGGTTCAGTGCGCGTTTCGGCTCACCGACATCACGTGCGCACCTTGGAGCTCTGATTCGCATTAAGAAAGAGTTGCGCCACGCAGCGCAGGGCCGAGGCATGATATTTTGAATGATCAACGCCCGTGCCAGCGCAGACGTGTCGCTCTGGCCGGCCACCGTTGGTCACGCCATTCGAAGGCAGCGCGTGGATTTCATGCGCCGTTGACGTTCCCCGATGACTGTCCTTGGGCCGTGCTCCTTATCTTGCGTCGTTCTTTCTGCCGGCCCGTCGTCGCGACTTCTGCCCGCGCCGGCGCTTTCGTTTATGTTCTTCCCCGAAGCGCTTGACTGGTGCAGTGCTTTCCAAAACGTCTCGATTTAGTTGTCTCTCCGCATGACCCTGGGACCGCGACCCGGTCTTGCGAGAGCGACGCTCTCAGGAAGGATATCATTCGCTCCCTGTGTTTGCGCACTTCCGCCTTCTTTGAAAAAAGGGTATGGTTCGGTAGGGGTCGGTTTGGCCGCCCCTGAGCATTGCGGCCATACTTTGTATGTAGCGTGTCCCCTGTTGCCATGCTGCCGGAGCAGTCGCCCTCTGCTCAGCCGCCGACGCAAACAACGTTTATGTGCGTGTGCGTGTGCGTGTGCGTCTGCGCGCACGTGTGCGTGTGCGCGTGCGCGTATGTGCGTGCGCGTGCGCGCGCGAGCGTTCGTGCGCGTGTGCGCGCGCGTGCGCGTGCGCATGCGTGTGCGTGCGCGCGCGCGTGCGCGCGCGTGCGCGTGCGCGTGCGCGCGCGCGTGCGCGCGCGTGCGTGTGAGCGTGCGCGCGCGTATGCGTGTTCGCGTGCGTGCGTGCGAGTGCGTGTGCGCGCGCATGCGTGCGCGCGTGCGCGTGCGCGCGCGTGCGCGCGTGCGCGTGCGTGTGCGCGCGTAATTTCGCGCGTGGTGTCTGTGTCTGCGTCTGTGCGTGGCGCGTGCGGCGTGCGCGCGCGCGTGCATGAATACATGTGTGAACGTTTGAATGCGCGCTTGGTCTGCCTGCCCAGCCCCCGGCCCCCCGCCTCGAGGCGGCCTGCTCTGGCCGACAGCCCACGGTTGCCTGAAGGTCACGCGGATCTCGGCGCCCTCGTCGCCTCGCTGCGCCGCCTCCGCCCCCAGCTTGCGCTGGACCTGCTGACCCCCCCTGCGTTGGCGGAATCGGCGCAGCAGTAGATTCCCAGGAAGTTCCGACGAGAAATCGATCACCCAGCACGATGCCTATTTCACGTATCTGTCGTCACAGCGTCGCTAGCCGTGCTGAAATGCAGTGGCGCCTGGGGGCCACGCGAAACGAATGGAAAAGCTTGTATCCCGCCCTTGAGCCGAAGCCACAGCACAGAAAGGCTTCGGGCAGGGAGTGCACAGGACTGACTGCTGCCAGCTAACACTGGTTATACTCTTCTCAGTCCTGACGCTACATGCACCGAGACCGCATAAGGCTTCGAGTCGAATCAGAAAGAAAGGCATCGTCGCACAACGACTCCAAAGGATCCAAAAAGCCTTCCATACAGCCACTGTCGGCCTCCTCGGGCGCGTCTGCGAAAGCGCCCTTGCCGTCGCGCTGCCTCCGACGTCCACTCTGGAACATCTCGTCAAACGTACACTTCCAGCGCTGCGTGGCCAAAAACTCCTCCATCACATGTCGAGCCAGATATCCCGGCTTCGTCAGGCTATCTGCCAGCATGGCCAAACCGTTCACCCATCTGAAAGACACGTCCGTGCGCAAGATCTGCAACTCGATGCCTCTGGCCTCCTCGCCTGATTTGAAGCTGCGCATGCCCAACTGGGGAGACTCCGACTTCAAGATCGCGTCGTAGATGCCGCGCGAATCTGTGATGAGCATGCCTGGCACGGTCTTGACAGCGTCGTCCAACTTCCAACGGGTCGGTTCGACTCCATGAAGTTCTGCCCACATCAGTCGAGATAACCACAACATCTCGTCGCCGAACGCGGTCGACTGCGTCTCGTTGTTGTTGGAGCCCGAAATCTTGCGAGGTAGCTTGAAAGATCTCCATCCAAGTATCGAAACGTTTGCCATGCTGCCAGTCGCGAAATCCGGAGTCGAGAGGCCTGTCACCAGCCCACCAGTCTTGCTGCCGTCGGGCCTGAGCTTGTCGCTAGCGTCCGCCCACTGCACCATCCACAACTCGTGCCAATCGTAGTTCTCGAACCGGTGGAACTTGATCACCTGCGACGCCGATTTACGCATGTCCTTGACAAGCTTGTTGGCATTCACCAAGTCGCTGATCTTGGCGTTGTTGACTTGAGACAATGCAAGCCCAACGTCCACCGCATACTGTGGGGACACTTGCTGTGCCCTCCAACTGGCCATACCCAGTACTCCACGAAGCAGTGAGATCTCTTTCGGCTCGAAAGGTAGATGAGCCTGCTTCTTGCGGTCGGCGTCGATCTCGGCCTCCGTGATGAACTTGTTCGTGTAGTCGTAGAGGTCCAGCGTGATCGAGAAATCCTTGAACTGGCGAACGCGTAGTCTACTGAACTCGGCCTGGCAGGAAGTCGACGCGCCCCATCTGTAGAGGGCCCTGATGGCCCTCTCCGCGTCCCTGTACAGCTTCGACGTCTCGTCGCCACCGATGATGAAGTCATCCACGTGGACGCCGATGATGCCCTTCAGCTGGTTGCTGGAATCCAGCATGATCCACACGCACTGGTCGGCACGTAGTTGTCGCCAACCTCGGTCACGAAGTTTGCGTGATATGTCAAGACACAATGCTCTCGGAGCTGTCGTCAATCCATAGAAAGACTTGACCATCTTCAAGATCTGCGAAGGACGCCCCAGCTCATCAGGAAAAAATGAGCCACTTCCGTAGGAACCTTCACGTTCAGACTCTCGAACTCCTCGCTCGCGTCGGTCTGGAGGAAAGCCGAGCTGACGTCGCCGAACTTGAGCTTGAACTTGTGCTGCGCGCACACCTGGAACAGCATGTTGCGAGCCAGCTTCCCCAGCGTAGGCGCCGCCGTAGAGAGCTCCGTCAGACTCGGGTGCTGGTAGCCCAGAATGACTAGCCGAGCCTTCGGCTTGCGTGCGCCACCCTCCTGGCACTTGTAGGTGAGGACCGAGCGCATCTTGAGCAACCGCGACTCGTCGATCTCGGCGAGCTCCTCCTGAGCGATCCGCTTCAAGACCTTGGTCGCGATGACCTGGCTGATCTCCTTGCACATCGCCTTGTCGAACTCGAGCTGCTGCCCTGGCGCCAGCTTGGAGTAGGTGACCTCTGTCGCCTTGCCGTCGCCAAGCCTCTTGGAGAGCCAGACCGTAGAGTCTTGAAGAAAGGCTCCGATGTCAGTGAAATCGGTCGCGACCTCGATCACTTCGCGCTCGATGGTCATGTCCTCCAGGTAGGCCACGGACTGGTTGTTGAAGTTGTCCCAGGCCTTCAGGTACTTGACCTCGTCCTCGAAGTCGCGCGTCATGAAATCCATCACTCCGAGCTTGATGCGCTTGGCCTCTGGCTCCTCTTTGTCACGTTCGTCTGCTTCACCAGTGGGGGCCTCCCCGGCAGGATCCTGGTTTCCCGCGAAACCCTCTGCGACCGGCCCGTCCGCAGAGTCGGGTCCCACCCCAAGAGGCTCTGCCGGGCTACCCTCTCGGGGACCTACCGCGGCTTCATCGCCAATCAGAGCACCTGCAGGGCCACTGGTGATTTCCTCTGGTGCCGCCGACGTCAATTCTGGTCCATAGAGCGCGTCGTAGGGAGATGCCTGGTACCTCAACCGGACCCGCCTGATCGGCTTCCAGTCCTGATCACCCGTGACTTGGTCCCTTTGGTGAAGATCTCGGCCTGGTTCATCATCATCCTCTGGAACTGGTACTCGAGACAAATCTGGAGGAACATCTCGAGGAACTGGATGAAGGTTTGCACCGTCGTCTCCAGCCTGAGCACCATCACGAAATAGAGAATGTTCACCTAGTCCTGGTTGCTCTGGTAGGTCTGCAAGGCTGTCGGCAATCTCGCGCTCCGAAGGTAGGTCGCCTGCCAAATCGGCAAACTCACCACGCCCAGCACCTTGAAAGAAAAGTGGAGGCGTTGGTCAGCGAGTCCCTGTCGATGTTACCCTCGAGCGATGCCACGACCACCTCGCGCTGACTGCTCGACCTCAGCTGCGTGGGATGACACCGAATAAGCCTCGTGCCGTGCACGATCCACACCACCGAAATCTCGTCCTCGATCGAAGCGGACTCGTCGGCACGTTCACGCTGGAGGTTGACCTTCGGCTCGATGGCCAAAACTCTCGCCGGTCCAGGCCACGAACCTCGAGCTCCAGTGTTCTTGCCACGGCAGAAGTACATGATCCAGTCGCCGATCTCAATCGAGAGAAGCTTCTGCCTCATGGAGTGCCGAAGCCGAGTCGCCACTGAACGAGCCTGCTCCTCCAGGTAGACCGCTCTGCCAAAAGACGATGAAGTTCGGTGTGTGCCAAGCCGTCTCCATCCAGGCGACCAGCCTCCTCCGCGAACTGGTAGCCCTGGTGGTTGGTACCGTGCGCCCACTGGACTGGTGTGTAGCCTGACGCCTTGTGCTGGTTGTTGTGAACGGCGCAGGCCAGCGACACACAGTCGGCCAACGATAGCGTCGGCTCGTCCAAGGAGATGCGTCGAGCGGTCTTCTTGATCTGCCTGATAAGAATCTCCAGGTCGGCCGTCTGACCATGGAACTCGCCCGGGCTCTGGATGATGCCCACGGCGTTCTTGCCACACCACTCGCGCAACTGGTTGCTCACGAAGCCGCCGCCCGGGTCCGAGATCAGGAACTGGCACCGCGGCTTGCGCTGCCACCAATCCTCCAGGAACGCCGACAACACCTGGGCGCCAGACAGCTCGAAGTACGCCTTCGTGCCCTTGGCTTCCACCTCCGTGAAGACGCTGCGAACTGCCAACTTGCAGGCCGCGTCCATGTAGAGCACCGCGAACAGCTTCCTGTGGTGCACCTCCAGCTCGAAGCAGTCCAGCTTCACCGTCTACCACAGCTTTGGTGGCAAAGAGAGTGACACCACAGCCTGGTGCTGCGTGTCCTGGGTCTCGGCGCAGGCATCGCAAATCAGCTCGCCCACGAGCGCCTGCTGCCAACTTGGGCACCCGCGTCTCTGGAGCATCGCCCTCATGTTGGTTTTGGACATATGTCCACCAAGAATGTGGAGGTCCATCAACCAGGACTTGACCTTGTCGAGCGTGACGTTGTCCTCCGGCATCTTCTTGAAGTGCTTGTCCATGCCCGACTCGATGCCGTACAACTGCTCCTCGCAGTCCTGCAGCGCGCTCATCGCCCAGAAGTCCTCCGCGAAATCCTGACCGCGCAGATCCTTGGCGAAACCCTTGACCAATCTCCGAATCATCGGATCCGGATAGTAGGCCGACGCCGCCACAGCGTCGTGCCCCTCGAGCGTGCTGTGAGGATGGTCTGTCGTACAGTGTAGTGCCATCCACTGCGTGAAATTATCGTCACGACTTGCTCCTGAGCACGCCGTGCTCGTCGCGCATGCCGACCTGGCACGCGTCGACCCTGACCATGCGGAGAGGTCGTCCGATGATCTTCTCCGCCTCGCGCCTGAACCAGTTAAGCTCCGGTGTAGACCAGCCACTGCACTTGTACGGCCACTCCCAGTAGATATCACCATCGTGTCGTAGAGTTTCCAAGGCCATATCCACGCAGTGCCCATTCATAGCGTGAGCCCGAAGTCGCGATCGTAGGAAATTCTCCCAGGTGCCAGGTCGTCGTTTGTGTTCAGGAATAAGGTTCTGCATCAACGAGAAGTAGGTACATGGTGTCGAAAACCCCGCCTTGCGAGGGCACGTCGTATTGAACCACCCCTTGGCACGACGAGCGTCGTCCTTTTTGTGGAGGTCGTAGCCCTGCTCCAGGTTGATGCGCTGGCAGTTAAAACCCTCATTGATCAGTCCGGCTGTCAACCACGAAGTTGGAGAACACGCGACTTCGGCGAAGTCCACTTGCATTGCCGAACCTGTCTGCACGAGGCCCAGCATCAGCCCGTTCACGAGCATGCCCAGTGCCGCCACGCCGCTCTGGATCGTGCGGCGCTGCTTGATCAAGACTTGCTTCACCTCATGAGGATATCCCCCATGTCCACCGGCACCGGCATCGCCACGTAGGCCTCCTGCTTCACCTGGCTTCACTTTCACGCGCATGACTCCCCGGGCCAAGACTGCCCACTTGATGAGGAGGTCCCTCTGCTTGGTCGTGAACGTGGGCGTCTCGTCCGGGTCCGCCGCGGCACTCGAGACCACATCCCACGTGCTGCTGCGGGCTGTTGAATCCGATGCCGCAGCACTTGGGCCCGCTCCGACCACGCGCACGGTGCGCACCGCGGTCGGCGCCCCGGTCGACGGTCTGGCTGCCGCCGATGGCCCCCCTGGATCGGTATTGATCTCGACCTTGACGCCCTCGGTCTTGGTCTTGCGGGCTGTCCAGTAACCCTCCTTGTCCGGGTCGCTCTTGATGTAGTGCCCTGTCTCGATGACGCGCTCCGCCTCGATGGCCTTCATGTGCGCCTCGACCCTCGCGGCCGTCGGAGTGTCCCCCGATTCCAGGAGCCGGCGAAGAGCCGCCGTCACCAGGGCCGCCTTCGGCTCCTTGCGGTACTTGCCGCTGCACTCCATCTTCGGAGCGTAGACCAGCCTGAAAGCGCACCTCTCGCACGTCAGCCACACTCCGAAGCGGTTGCTGGAGTAGCTCGACACGGTATGGGTCCCCTGGCATGGCCAGCTGGTCATGCGAGGATCCTTCGGCTCGGCCCCCTTACTCAGAGACCAGTCCGTCTGCTCTGCCGCCGCACATGGTAGGTCGGGGTAGAGCCTCTTGTCGCCCACCAGGACGAAGGATGGAAGATTGAAAAGCGCTGAGCTGATCTCGGATGCTTTGGAGCCGAAATGCCAATGGTGCAGTCGGTGTTGGACGAAACCAGATTCCGGTACGAATCGCACTGACCCCATCTGGCAATGGGCGATAAAGCCAACCCCCAGGGGGTGCAATCGTCACAGGACCGTCTTCGATAATCACCGAACTGTGCAAACACGTCGTCGTACGCCAGCACATTCCAAAACGTCGAGCATCATCAGGACGTTCGAAAGTTCTGAATACTCTCGGAAACAAGTCTTCCCGAACATATCTGCCAAGCTATGTTTCATCTGGCTCTGGACTGTATCCCGTTACATGGTTTACCATATTTATCTCGTGATATGGTAGAGTGCAACCCATTTCCAACCGTTGATGTTTAAGCCGTCCGGATAGTGCACCGCTGTAATCGAAGCGATCCCCGGACAGCTCTCGGCAAATGGGGCGCGTTTCACGCGAGGCCCACACACACCGAGAACTCGGACAACAGTGCGGGCTTCTCGCTACTACAACCTCCCCAATTTCCCGATCCGACCCCTCGAGCTCACGCTCTTCGGCCAGGTCCGCAGGCGGTCGGATCACACTCTGTAACTGTAACCGTACGCATACCATAAGACCACCCACGCCGATGCCCTGATACTGTACTCCCTCGTTTCTCTGGTCACCTGTAAGTCCCGGGGAGCGCGGAACTCCGGCGCGCTGCCCCTAGCTGCCGGCCGAACTCAGGACGTCCAGCAAGCGGTGGCCGCCCTTGCCCTTCCGGAGCTGGACCTTCGTGGTCTTGTTGTCGCTGAGGTAGATCTCCAACTCGTTTCTGCGGAAGGAGACGTCATGCTGATCCAGCCAGTCTACCCCCCCGAGCACCGGCACCTCATCGGCGTCCAGCAAGTAGATGCCCAGCCAGCCGATGGGCGCAAAGAGCCACACCTTGGACAGCGCCTGGCCCCACTGGCCGTTCGCGAACTTGAATCAGGGCCTGTCGGCTGCGTCCACCTCGATCTTCGCGCCTGGGAACTTCTCAGTGACAGCCGAAACCCACTTTTCGACAGCGTCGCCGCCTCCAGCTGTCGTCGTAGCTCGGCAGTCGAGGACAATCTCCGTAGACGATGGGCACGAGAGGGAAAGGATCATGTCCATGCAAAAGATGCCTCCGATGTAGTGCACCTTGCCCTTCTTGCCCTTGCCCTTGGACCCGAAGCCGCCCTTCGCGAAGCTCTTGCCCTTGTTGAAGTAGCGGTCTGGGCACTGCCTCTAGTAGTGGTCCGGCGGACCACAGATCAGGCATCCACGTCCTTGAGGTCCTGCCGATGATCCCTTCACCTGGTTGCCGCCCTTCTTGCCATCCTTGCCGGAGCCCTTCTGCGGAAAGAACCCCCTGTTCTTGCGCGCCTCTGCCACAGCGCTCCTGGCCTCGGCCAGCGTCCGATTAGCTTCGGCGGCGAAGATCTCGGCTGCACTCACCTGCTCCTCCAGGCACGCGTCGTCAGTCGCATACGTAATTGAATCCGGTGTCCAGGTCGCTGCTGTTGCCTGGCCCCACTGGTCTGGCGAGGTATTCCATCCGGCATCGTTGTTGGACCAATCCCACGAGCTCGTAGCCCATGTAGTCTGATCCACATCGTCCGCATAGAAAGCACACCACCAGACGTCTTCGTTCTCGTCGAAGCTCCAGTCGATTGTCCACGATGACTCTTCACCGCGGATTGCCGCACATACGTCGTCCATCTCCTCCGCGCTCTCGAAGGCGAAAACTCTTCCTCGGAAACCACGACCATGCTGCTGAGCTGGTTTATCACGGTCTCGGAGGTCTCGGTCATCCCACGACGCGCGAAGCTGCGTGACGATGGACTCGTATCGGGTGTCGTTCTGAGTGCCTGCCAGAATCATCTGGCGCTCTTCCCTGCTCAGGCGCGCGTTGTGCACAAGCCTGTACCCTCGAAGTTCTGCCTCGAAGAAGCTCGCGTCGGTCTCCGACTTGGCGGTCGAAGCCCCAGATCGGGCCGACACCACAGACTTCTTCTCGGTCGCGTCCGCGGCCTCGGCGTCTTCCTCGACCTCCTCGGCTTCTTCGAACTCCTCGGTCGTCGACTCCTTGACCGTTGAGGTAGCTGAGCGCCAGGTTCTCGACTCGTCGTCGCCAGAGCCGATTCGCGTCGCAATCGGTCTGAACGAAGTCGCTTCAAGGCCGAACGCATGTCCCTGAACAGGTTGTCTTCTCTGATGAAAAACTCGTCAATCACCTCACCGGGCTTGCGAATCACCTGGTCGTAGTTGCGCATCTTCTGGTACGCGTCCGGGATCGGAATCTTGCCGAGCGGACCTTCTCGAAGATGTTTGAGCAACGCTTCCACACCTCCTGACACGAAGTCGTTCGGCCTCCTGTCCTTCACTGCCTCCTTGGCCGCACCTCGCAGCGCAGTCCACAGGCGAGCTACGGCGAGGTTGTTCTCGTCTTCCTTCAGTCCCGCGCGGCACCATAGAACAGCATTCTCATCGCTCTCAGACGTCAGTGGGTCCCCACTCCACGTCGGCACTCCCTGCTCGGTTGTCTCACACCCAGCGGTCGACTTCAGCGTAGGCCTCCACGATGGCTCCGCTGCCACGTTGGCGGAATCGGCGCAGCAGTAGATTCCCAGGAAGTCCCGACGAGAAATCTATCACCAGCACGATGCCTATTCCACGTATCTGTCGCCACAGCGTCGCTAGCCGTGCTGAAATGTAGTGGCGCCTGGGGGCCACGTGAAACGAATGAAAAAGCTCGCATCCCGCCCATGAGCCAAAGCCACAGCACAGAGAGGCTTCGGGCAGGGAGTGCACAGGACTGACTGCTGCTAGCTAACACCCTGGGCGCGCGCCTGGCGGCCCCCTGGCTGCCCACCCCCAGCTACTGCCCCGCCGCCGCTGCTGGCCCCTGGACCTGGCGCCCCGCCGCCACCTGGCCCCGCTCTTGGCGGGCCCGGCTCCCGCCCCCCCCCCCGCCCGCGCCGCCCCCCCCTTCCCCCCCGCGCACTGCGGCTGAATTCGCGTTTTGCGCGCCCCGCTAATGCTTCATCGCCAGCGCAGTCACTCTGCCGAGCCGCCGAAACAAAAAGCGCGCGCGCGCGAGCGCGCGCACGTGCGTGCGCGCGCGCATGCGCGCGCATACGTGCGTGTGCATGTGCGTGTGCGTGTGCGTGCGTGTTGTGTGTTGCGTGCGTTGTACGCACGTGAGTGCGTGTGTGCTCGTGTTTGTGTGCGCGCGCGCGTGAGTGCGTGCGCGCGTGCGTGCGTGCGCGCGCGCCGGCGTGCGTGCATGTACGCGTGCGCGCGCGTGCGCGCGTGCGCCCGCGTGCGCGCGCGAGCGCGTGCGCGCGCGCCTGCGTGCGCGCGCGCGTGCGTGCGCGCGCGCGTGCGTGAGTGCGCGTGCGCGCGCGTGCATGTGCGCGCGCGTGCGCGTGCGTGCGCGCGTGTGCGTGTGTGCGTGTGTGTGTGTGTGTGCGCGTG